AAAAGCCAGGTGGGTAGTGTTAGGGTTTTGGCTGGTGACATGGGGCTGTGAAAGATTTCACAACTGAGAGAAAAGATAGATGTAAAGAGGGAGTTTATTTTACTTTCCCTGTGAGGGGGAAAGGGCTGATGCATGCTAATCAATACAAGGCCAAGAAACAAAGGGCAGCTTGCTTTTTTAAGAGGGCGCTGTTGCTAGGCAACAGGGAAGGGGGGCTTGTCTTGAAGTTGAGCAGATAGCAGGGAGGTTGTCTTGAAAAGTTACAGTTTGTTTGCTTTCCAGGAGACAGTCCAGCAGATGTCCTAGGGAGGGGTCTTATCAGTATTTTTCCCAGGCCTGTAAAACATGCTTCGAGCAAAAGTTATGAAGAGTCCAAAAGAGGCTGGTTTGAAGGGGAAGCAGGAAGGGAACTTTCTACTAACTAGAGACTCCTTGGTGCGAATTATCCCTGAGCTGTGCAAACAGCAAGGAGAAGGGGATGCAGGAATGTAGCCTTGAGGGTAGCTTACCTTGTCCGGCAGTTTGAACAGAGGGGCTGTTTGAATCAGAGGAGCCAACAATGTTGGGGCTTAATTACCAGGTGCTTCTCCTAAACTGTGGAAAGCCACAGCAAAGAAAAGAAAAAAGGCCTTTTCCTGTCATTACAGGTAGTACTCTCTGAGCTGAGGGCATTCTCATTTAAATAGTTTAGAGAGGCTGTTATGCAGAGTCAAAAATGGGAAATATACCTCGCTTACTTAGCTAGTGAATGCTTTATAGCGCAGTATGCAGAGCAGATGCTTGGGCTCCGGGAGGCATTTTCTGGGCTGGCCTGCTCTCCTGGCCGGAGGCTGCCAGTGGGATGTGGGACTGAACTGGTAGCACCGCTGGCCGGGAACGGAGAGGGGAGCGAAGGTCGGGGAATCCGCCCATTTGGATCCTTGGCCTATTCCACACTTTTCCCCCATTAGGTCCAGAACCGGTTAAGTGACAATCAAGAACAAGATCTCCGTTCTCCTCTCCAAGTGACTGGTAGAGCGAATTGCGTTTGTTTTTGAAGACAAAAGTGGAATTATTCCGATGGAATAGATCTATGTATTTGTGTTTATTGAAAAGTAAGACACTTTGCGTACCTCCTACCGTGATGTCTTGGGTTGTTTGTAACGGGGAAAATCTAATTTTATGTATGTCCAACAATGATTTGTATATATATTGTTTACTTAATAGCATCTGACGTCCTTGGGTATAACTACCAGTGTTCCCTCTTTCAGAATATTTGGGAAGGGCTATCACATGGGTGGATAGATTCCTTCTCTTACGTAGGTAAGGTAAGTTAGCAAATTGCTGTGAATTAGCATCCAGCCGCTCCCCCTCCATACAAACACCGTGACGAAGTGTCTCTAACCCGTGTGCTTAACTTACGATGGGTTTTTCCCACAAAAACAAGGTTTATAAAATGGTGGATACAGAGAGTTAAAAGTGCACTGAGAACTATTTTCCAGATACATTATAAATTGAATGGGCCTGGGAAGTTCTTGGTTGCCCAAAAAGAAAAACAATTTCTGTAGGTGTTAATTTTCTTGAGATTTAAGAACCTGTCTTCATTAATAATTAATATTTTCTCCCTTGCACTTTTGATTTTCTTTCTTTTTTTTTTTTAAATATATCTTTATTGATTTCAGAGAGAGGAAGGGAGAGGAAGAGAGAAACATCAATGATGAGAGAGTCATTGATTGGCTGCCTCATGCACATCCTCANAAGAGACAGACCCGGGCGTGTGCCCTGACTGGGAATCGAACCCTGATCTCCTGGATCCTAGGTCAATGCTCAGCCTCTGAGCCACNGAGAGAGTCATTGATTGGCTGCCTCATGCACACCCTCAACTGGGGATCGAGCCCGCAACCCGGGCGTGTGCCCTGACCGGGAATCGAACCCTGATCTCCTGGATCCTTGGTCAATGCTCAGCCTCTGAGCCATGCCCTGCTGGGCTGCACTTTTGATTTTCATCTAAAGATTGCCAAAATATTTTGCAATTCTACTTTGTATTACTTGTTTCACAGTGTCAGCATTAGAAATCTTTCAAACCTGTGATGAATTCTTGTGAGTTTATTTGAGCCAAACTGTTGACAATTGCCCGGAAGCCAAAACCTCAACAGATTGAGATAACACTCCTGAGAAAGGCTGTTTTGTACCTTGTTTTATGCATTACAATCTGAGAGGGAGACATAAGTGGGTTTCACAGAATCCATTGTGATAGGTTCGGGAAGTGGGAGAAAGCAAAGCGGTGAAACCTCTGGGATTGGATAAAAAGTGAAATGATGGACACACTTCTTTTACTTAGGTGGATGCAAGATGGTTAGCTATTAACAATTAACTCAATAACGATGAAGGGATTTGTGGTCTCTGCAGTGGTGCCTGTGTTTTGAGGGGTCCAGGGGAAAATTACTTTGACATTCCAGNTGGTGCCTGTGTTTTGAGGGGTCCGGGGGAAAATTACTTTGACATTCCAATGATAGGTTATCCTAGATGCAAAAAGGCAGTCATCAACAGGCTTAATTAAGGTAAAGATTGACCTTTGTCAGGGAAGATACCAGCCTAGGACATCACTACCCACCATAAACTGCTTTTAGTTAAAAAGTTTTCATTTCAGACCATCCTTGGTGGTTACTTTAGGTAGCTGAGTTTGCAAGGCTGCCACGCAGGCCTGCCCTGAGCTTGTCAGGTTAGCATGTGGCCCCTTTTCGTCCACAACAGCTATTTGTATACGTAGTTATAGATACTTAGTTTTACATATGTATAAATATATGGTGATTTGTATTCTTAGGAGCTCCTTTCAAACTTATTTCTCTAACATTATATAGTAGCTTGTTAGCTGTTAAGAGTGACGTGGGCCTTNGTTAGCTGTTAAGAGTGACATGGGCCTTTACTATTTTGTTCATACATTACCCATTGAATTCCTTTTATTTATTTATTTATTTATTTATTTATTAGTTATTTATTTTAAAATATATCTTTATTGATTTCAGAGAGAGGAAAGGAGAGGAGAGACAGACAGAAACATCAGTGATGAGAGAGTCATTGGGACCAAGCCCACATNTGACATGGGCCTTTACTATTTTGTTCATACATTACCCATTGAATTCCTTTTATTTATTTATTTATTTATTTATTTATTAGTTATTTATTTTAAAATATATCTTTATTGATTTCAGAGAGAGGAAAGGAGAGGAGAGACAGACAGAAACATCAGTGATGAGAGAGTCATTGGGACCAAGCCCACATCCCGGGCATGTGCCCTGACCGGGAATCGAACCTTGATCTCCTGGATCCTAGGTTGACACTCAGCCGCTGAGCCATGCCTGGCCGGGCTACCCATTGAATTCTAAACATAAATTAGTACCCACACCAGGGCTGAAGGGAAATCAGAGTAATCGTAAAGAAATAAGGAACAGTGATTATATCAAATATAATTTTTCTCTTTTGTCTTTTTATTCCATTTTTTAAACTTTTTTAATTTATTGGGGTGACATTGGTTAATAAAATTATATAGGTTTCAAGTGTACAACTCTATAATATTATTCAGTTTTCATAGGAATTTCTTCTGGCCTATAAATATCACATGGATTGGGTTGGCCAGATACTTGCTTTAACGTAGCCATGGGAAAGCATGAGCCATGGTAAAGGGAAAGAGTGAGCCTTATGTCCTTTAAATTTTTATTGAGTGGATTTATGAGAAGCTATTGAGAAAGATTGTCCCAAGCACTTTAGACTCAGGGAGCAGCTCAGCTTGCTGGATGGCTGAAGCTCAGTGATTTGAGTCACTAAAATGGACCCTAGATTAAAGCATCACAGCCTAAACATTCATCAATAACTACTCCTTAAAGGCTCTGCCAAAGAGATTTGCATGTTGATTATATTATGGCAATGTGTTATCTGGGAGGTGGGGGATAAATTTAATGCATTATAAGCCAGAAGCAGGGAGGGCCCATGGAGAAAGCAGAGGTGAATTTTGATGGGAGAGAGGGGGAGGGGAACAGGGGAAGGAAAAGACAGCTGTGGCTGGCTGGAGCCGCCTGGAGGAAATTGGAGGCCAGCTGAGGCTTCTAGGTTTTGCCCAAGGCCCCTCTGAGAGGAAGAGGTGGGGTTACAAGTGCACCCAGCGGCAGCTGTGTGACCCCCATCTGCCACGCAAGCCACGGGGCACTGAAGGAAACCCGTGATTGACCTGAACCCGCTAAAGAGGAAGTAAAGCCAGTTTTTTGTTGTTAGAAAAGTGGAAATGTTAACAAATTTTCCCTCCCCACCACTTTCCCATTTTCCCCATGTCCTGTGTTTTCAGTTTCGGTTAGGCTTGATTTAACCGTTGCTAACAGAAGGATTAATGCTGTCCCCCAATTTTCAGTCTCAACTCTATTTCAGATATTTCAGTTCCGCTTGCTTTCCTTTTCAGATTACACAATAAAAGGAACAAAGGAAACTTTTTCACTTATATTTAACATTTCCTTTTAAAATAATAAATATAAATGCACATGGTTATTTTTTAAGGTCAAGTGATACAGACAATGAAGAGCATAAAATGATACGCAAAATTCCCCTCCCAGCCTGAACTCAATTCCACTCCCCAGAGATGATAACCTCGCAGAAAGGAGTTTTTTTAAGCGAACGTTAAGAATCCCTAGCATTTCCAAATAAAAGCGCAGCCTGATGGAGGCGTTGTTTTGAAACGAACACCCCCTTAAGTGCAGCATGGATATAAATTATCGACACTGTGCAGCTGGGCCAGCAGAGGAAGGAGTAAGAAGGATCTGGAGGCCCTGCCCAGCCTCCTTCACTGTCCTCAAAGCAGGAGGGCTCCTTAATATCCTCAGAGAGGAGAGCAAGGCCCAGACCAGAAGTCAGGGACTTAACTGCCCTTTGCTTTCATCCTTAGCTACAGGCCCTCAGTGCCACCTCCAAAATACTTATGTCCCCACCTCCAGACGGTGCTCATTGCTGAGTCCCCTCCTTCTCTCTCCCCTCAGGAAGAAGACAAGCCCACTCTCTACGTGTTCAATGCTGTTACCCAAGAGACTATGTGGATAATGGAGAACGCTTCCCTTCTTGGTAAAAAAGTGTCCGAGCTGAGAACGCTGATCTCTTTGAGATGCGGCTTCCCCGTGAGTGTCTTCTGTCTCCGGACCCCGAGGGGACTGGAGATGTACGACTGCAACACCCTCAGGGACTATCAGGCTGACACCGGTACTGCCCTCTACCCTGGACACCAGCTACTCCTCAGCACTAGGTTCTCTGATACCAGCTTCTCAGCAACGGAGCAGTTGTTTCTAAACTAAAGCCTCTGTAAGCGCCGCGTGGTTGTACCTCTCTGGGTCTGGTTCTGTGGACCAAGCCCCAGGGAGGGTCTCGTAGCCCTGCCATGCCTTGTTCTCTTTACTCAGAGCAGGGGGACTTAATAGTCTCAGGAAGGAAGGGCAAGACCCAGACAAGTTTATAGCTTTCTCTTTGAAATATGTCTGCAGTGTATATAACAGCAAGTTCAAGTACATATTCTTTTCCTCTTTTTAGCACAAGTGGTAGCATGTGATACATTGTTCTGAGCCTTGCTTTATGCAATCTCCTTCCAAGACATTGTTGGTTATGATTTGCTGCTGCTTTTAGGTTATTTTTAATTGAGGCTCACAAAACATTGGCATCAATGTTCGTCCCTGTTTTTTCTTATTTCTTATTGCTTTAATTTAGTATAGTGCTCATTTGACCTCCAACATTTACAGTTTAATATACTCCAAATACCAGTAAATGAAATTTGCTTTCTGAAGTCCATTATTATACAAAATGGAAACCTGTTTTTGCCAAGTTGACTGTTTACATTTCTAACTAAATTCACTCCTGGGTCAGAGCATGCTTTTCCAGTATAAACAACTTCTTTTTTTTTTAAAAAAAAAATTTTNTTGCCAAGTTGACTGTTTACATTTCTAACTAAATTCACTCCTGGGTCAGAGCATGCTTTTCCAGTATAAACAACTTCTTTTTTTTTTTTAAAAAAAAATTTGTTTTTCAGTTGCAGTTGACATACAATATTATATTAATTTCAGGTGTACAACCCAGTGATTAGACATTACATAACTTACTAAGTGATCACCCCAATAAATCTAGTACCCATCTGACACCATACATAGTTACTGCAATATTATTGACTATATTTCCTATGCTATAATTTACATCCCCATGACTATTGTGTAACAACCAATTTGTATTTTTTAATCCCTTCACCTTTTTCACCCATCCCCTCAACCCCTCCCTTCCCATCTGGCAACATCAAAATGTTCTCTGTATCTATGAATCTGTTTCTGTTCTACTTGTTCATTTGTTTTTTAGACTTAGTTGTTGATAGATATGCATTTATTGCCATTTTATTCATATTTATTCATATTTTTATCTTATTTTTCCTTCTTCATAAACATTGTGTGTAGTACTGGTTTGGTGGTGATGAACTCCTTTAGCTTTTTCTAGTCTGCGAAGCTCTTTAAATATCCTTTGAGTCTAAATAATAGCTTTGCTGGGTAGAGTAATCTTGGCTGTACGTCCTTGCTTTTCATCACTGAATTTCTTTTTTTTAATTTATTTTTTAATCCTCACCTGAGGATATTTCTTCCATTGCTTTTCAAAGAGAGAGGAAGGGAGAGAAGAGAGAGAAAGAGAAAAATTGATGTGAGAAAGACACATTGATTGGTTGCCTCCCACACATGCCCCAACTGAGGACAGGGATTGAGCCTGCAACTGAGGTCAGTGCCCTTGGCCAGAATTGAACCCTGGACCCTCCAGTCTGCAGGCTGATGCTCTAGCCACTGAGCCAAACTGGCTAGGGCCATCACTTTGAACATTTCTTGCCAATCCCTTCTGGCCTATAAAGTTTCTTTTGAAAATCAGTTGACAGTCTTATGGTTGCTCCCTTGTAATAACTAACTGTTTTTCTCTTGCTGCTTTTAAGATTCTCTCTGTCTTTAACCTTTGTCATTTTCATTATGATGTGTCTTGATTTGGGCCTCTTTGGGTTCATCTTGCTTGGGGCTCTCTGCATTTCCTGGACTTATATATTTATTTCCTTCACCAGGTTAGGGAAGTTTGCCATCATCATTTTCTCACATACGTTTTCAATTCCTTGTGCTCTCTCTCTTCTCCTTCTGGTTTCCCCATGATGTGAATATCAATGCACTTGAAGTTGTCCCAGAGGTTTTTACTATCCTCTTTGTTTTTGGATTCTTTTTTCTTTTTGCTGTACTGATTCTGTATTTTCTGCTTTCTTATCTTCAAAATCTCTGATTTAATCCTCTGCTTCATCTACTCCACTGTTGATTTATTTATCCTTCATTTCCATTAGTGTATTCTTCATTTCTGACTGGTTCTTTTTTATGTTTTCTATCTCTGTTTTTATGTTTCCTATCTCTTTGTTGAAGTTCTCACAAAGTTCATCTACCCTTCCCCTAAGTTAATTGAGCACACTTATAACCAGTGTTTTGAACTCTGCATCTAGTAGATTGCTTGTCTTCATTTTGTTTAATTCCTTTTCTGGAGTTTTGTTTTGTTCTTTCATTTGTGACATGTTTCTTTGTCTCCTCATTTTGGTAGCCTCCCTATGTTTTTTCTTATGTATTATGTGGAGATGCTACATCTCCCAGGCTTGGTACAGTGGCCTTATGGAGTAGGTGTCCTGTAAAGTCTGGTGGCACAGCCTTCCCAATCACTGAAGTTGGGCATTCCATGTGTGCCTCCCACCCCTTGGGTTGTGTACACCCTCCTGTTGTAGTTGAGCCTTGATTGCTGTTGACACGTTAATGGGAGGGATTTACCCCTGGGCCAATCAGCTGCAAGGACTGGCTGGTAACCACTGTGAAGGATCAACTGTGCAGGGTCCCACTCCATAGAACAGGACTCCACAGAGTGGAGCTCTGGTGCCTGCTGAGTGTGCCACTTGAGTGTGTCATTTGCGGAGGTGATTAGGTGGTGCTCTGATGTGGTCTGAAGCTGTCCAGCAGGTGCACTGGCTCTGGGATCTCCTAGGAGATGCAGGCCAAGGTCAGCCACAACCTGTGTCCTGCCCAGAGCCACTGGCATGAGCTACAAAGCAATCTACAGATGGCTGCTACTTGTGCTGCACTTGGAGGTGCCTAGGAGAGGCAAAGCTGGGAACTGAGGCCAGTTGCCACTAGTGCCCTGCCTGGGGCCACCTAGCGAGAGGTACAGGGCACACAGAGACCAGATACTACTTGTTTGAGAGATTTTAGGAAAGTCTGAAGCATGAACCAAGATAGGCCTTTCTTATAGAAAAGCCACTGGAAACAGCTTGGGTGGGCCTATAAGTTGGATGGGGTGGGGGTCTCAGGGAATCACCAGAGCAGGGCAAGCAGTGTTAGGTTGATGGAGACTCAGATATGGTGCCCACCTGCTGGCTCTGTGGGGGAGGGCTCAGAAAAGGATCAATGGTCTCTGCCAGCTCTTCTGTATGGGAGAAAGCTGCTCTGCCCCAGCTCTTGCCCTAATGCTAGACAACTCAGTTCCTCTCTGTAAGTCCCTGGTGCCTTTCCAGCTGCTGCCCCAGGGCTGGAGCACAGAGCAAGTGAGTTCAATTAAGTCCATATGTGGGCCCCATAAGAGGAACTGCCTGGGACTCCCGCAGACTCCATCTCACTCAGCCACACTCCCTGCTGGTTTTTACAGCCAGAAGGTATGGGGACTTTTCTTCCTGGCACTGGGACCCTGGGTTGGGCGGCCTGGTGTGGGGCTGGGACACCTCACTCCTTAGGGGTACCTCTGCAGCTGAGATATTTCTCCTGATTTTATCTGCCACACATGGATGTGGGATCAGCCAGTTTAGTGTCTCTGCCCCTTGTAAAGCACACACCTGCTCTGCATGCTTGCTGGCGATTGGCCCT